ATATATAAAGTATGTTAAAAAATAAAAATAAATCAGTAGTTACTTTCCTGACATTGAGCAAAGACAGTTTTCATATGCTGCTAGAATACTCAAAATACATGTAGGTCTGAAGCTCCTAATTCAACAGGTTTTGTAGTATGTATTTATAATGAATATATTTAAATAAAAATATTCCGTGGTCCCTTTCCTCTACCATGATTTTAGAACTCCTTCTGGAAAATATTAGTATAATAGCAGGTATCACTGGGTGACCTTTCAGTGCATAGGCAGATCTAAACCCATTAAAATAACACTCTCTTTGTGTGCATATGAATGTGTACACACATATTTTGTGTATATCGATATATTATTAAACTCCCATATTTACACAGAGGCACACAAAGAAAATTAAATGTGTGTCAGTACTGGTATAAATAGCCAATATCTTCTCGCTGGTTCCTGGGAGGTTTGGAAATGAAAAAGCTCTCACATGCCCCTGTCCCTCTGGACACCCATGAGGCAGACAGACTCGGGCAGGCGAGAGCTCTGGTGGCTCTAAGGCCCTGCGGGAGCAGGGGTTGCAGGGACAGTAGAGGTGTGCTGCCTAAAACAAGTACATGGCTGCTTCAGGCTTTAAGTTTAATACAAAGGGGGCTGGTTAAGCATCTCTTGCTTCTCTTATACAGAAGGACAGATTAGATGGTATCACGTGGCTTTGCAATCCATGAATCCCGGCCTCTCCGCCTGGCAGTGCTGTAAGTGAGGGGTTGGGGCTGACCCGTGACGATCAAATCAAGCTTTGGGCTCAGCCAGCAGGCCCCTCTGAGGATAATTTGTAAGGACACTGACTACAGCCTCAAGCTTTCAGAGACGGTCCTCCCTTGAAAAAGGCACGGGAGTCATTCAGTTTTCTTCCTAAATGCAATGTCATCTTTGCCTTCTTGTTAGATCCTGTTCAGCTCAGTGGGCTTCAGATGCAATACAGCAAGGGAAGAACAAGCCCCTTAGGATGATGACAAATCCTCATACCGATTCTGTTGGAATAACTTAATCTATCAGGTATGAAGCCCAGAGCCAAATATGGGCTTCTCTGCCCCTTTTTTGCTGGACCACCATGTGACAGTCGGTGTTCTTTCCTACAGCTGATATTCAGATGGGATGTGGAGAAAGACAGCTATTTTCTTTAGAGCCTTTGCAAGGCGGCTGTAATCTTTATTTCTGTGAGCTGCTGAAATTCACCATCAAGAAAGTAATTACCCTTGTTTTCCCTTGCAAATATTAAGCATCCCTGAGCTGTGTTTTCCAGATACATATTTTTTTTAACCTTATTTCAGGTTACCTACATAAAGCATTTTCTATAATTTCTGTTGTGCATGCAATCTGACCTGTGTTTGCAAAAGTACTCTCCATTTGTCCCTCATCACCACAGTCCATTTTAGTCTCAGATTCACTTTTGCTCTAACTGACCTGGTGTGATCTCAAGCTTACTGTCGTACATTGTCTATGCCAGAAAAGCTGAATCACAGACTGAAATTATGGACTCTGGGTCAGATCCTGTAATCCATGCCCGAGCACAGTCTGGGCAGAACAAGCCAACTGAAATTTTTCCCAGCATGAAAGCAGGAAACACTCAGTTGATGTAAGACCAGGAGATTCACCCTTCATCCTCTTTCACTGCTCCTCCAGTGCAGAGGGCATGATGGAGAAGAAGAAAGGTGAAGTTTTTACCCTGCCATAGCAATGCTCTGTTTGGATCCTACAACAACCCTTAAGTGATAGTTATGCTAGCTGAAAAGTGGAAGGGTGGACAGCCCTTTCCAGGTGACCATTCCAGGCTGTGTTTTTCTTTCCTGAGCTGGAGGTTAAATGTGCTGGTAGAAATGCAGTAGGCCTTTCTTCCCAAGCAACCAAGACACCACACACCTGTATATTGCTGTGTGAGGCAGCATTCTCACTCCAGCCGAGCTTGAGTTTCAGTGGGAGCTGCTGGGAGCTGCTGCCTCTCGAGGGTGTTCTGGCTCCCAGCTCCCAGCCCTGCAACCAGCCCCAGTGTGTCTGATTCCAACGCTCCCCACACGCTATCCTTGGCACTGCAGTTGCTGACACTAGAGCTGGGGAACTTCAGTGGCTCTTCAAACGTATGCCAGGACCCAGCTTGGTGTAGATGAGCCCACAGAATCGGAGAGAGAGGACTAATTCTTTGATAATCTCCCCCTACATCCCCACTCCCCCTCCCAGGCTGCTGTGCTGAGCAGAGCTTAGGCACAGGGAAAGATCATTCCCAGTGTTTTTAATGCTAGTGAAGCTCATGCAGCGTTATTTACAAAAATTCTTCTACTTCAAAAAATGACTCCATAAAAATGTCATGGCAGGATTTCGTGTTTATTGTTTCTCAGTGATTACCATGACAAATCTGCTAATTTGCCAAGTAGAGGGATATTTGTTTGTTTTCAGATGGCAACTCTGCAAACCCAGCCTAGAATCTGAAATGCAAGCTGGGGTCTCTCTGGCTCCTGTATCCCCAGGATATCTCTATGCTCAGATCATGATCATCACTTCTGGTGAGAGTGCCTGAGCCAAAACAGACTCCGGGCCCTTCTTACTGAGCTCAGGTGAATCTGCAAAGCTAAAATACATGGGATCCCCATTTTAGTCTAATGAAAGCTGGTATAAGTGTGAGGCATGAGTGGCAGCAGGGTGTTGGGGGTGTGGGGGGTGAGAAATTAACATTTTTCTGCAGTTGCTTTCAGGGCAGAATAACAGTCTTGGCTGTCTGCATAGTCATTTGTCTGAGACCAGGTTTTATTTAGCTCTTGGGTTTGAACAGAGAAAGGGTTGAGGTTGGAGAGTTTGAGGGTACTTTGAAAGGTGAAGAGGCAAGGCTGGAAGAGCAGAGGAAGAGTTATGGGAGCAGAATCAGGAGGGGGAAGAGGAAGGGTTGTGGAGATTTATGGAAAGGCAGAGAGAGAGGGGAAAGGGGGAAAAGCAGAAGGAATGGTAAGGGCTGGGGACAAGGAGAAAGGTATTTGCTTTTGGTGTGGAGCTCTTGCAAAGAGCAGGCGCAGAGAATTCCCTCTGATTCTCTGTGAACCTGTGTCCCATACTGGGGTCATGAGAGAGGTGGATAATCATGACACATTAACTCATCTCTTGGTTTCTGTTGCCTGAACCCCAGTTCTCCTGTGCTGGAAGGATGGCAAGTTCTCAGTAAGTTTGTGCTGTCAGGGGGCAGAAGGTGGGTGCCAGTGGAGAGCGTGGGTAGATCTGGATGGAGAGAATGAGAATCTCTCTGCTGGAATATGGGGAACCAGCAGACTTGTAGGATACAAAAACCTACAGAACCCCCAACCTCTGCTTGTAGGACAGGCAAAAGATTCCCCTCACCTGCAGTACAATAAGGGAAATCCCTCTCCTCCATCTAATTGCAACACAATCCCTGCACGACAGATAGCCCTATTCTATCACTGGCAAGCTGGTTATGGGGCGTTCTCCAGAGTTTAGTGCATTAGGAATAGGGCTATGACTGTAACCTGGAGTGGGTCCTGACCTCTGTTTCAGGTGAAGCAAAGTCCTTTGCAAAGGCTGCATCTCACCTGCAAACAGGGCTTTGCTGATCACAGACAGTTGTCCCTCTTGCCCGTTTCTCCACCACTTCTCCCCACACACAGCTATCTAAGGAAGATCATGTCCCCCCCACCCCAGGAGCCCTGGAGGAGGAACATGCTCCTCACCTCCAAGGAAGGAGTCCTTACCTGAGAAGAACTGGCTGATGGAGTGAGGCAGAAGAGTGAGGAAGGCCAGCGGGTTTGCAAAGGACATGGAGAGTGCAGCAGAAATGTAAGCCATGCCTGCCACAAGGGAGTCGAGGCAAGCCAGGGAGGTGTAGAGGCAGAACATGATGAAGTTTCGCATGTTCCTGCTCCCAATGCAGTTCCCTGTGAAGAAACAGTGGTGGTCATGCCTCTGGGTGACTCTGGCACACAGTCTACAGAAGTGAGTGCTGGGCAAGGCTGAACCAGGGGACCTGCTTCCGTCCAGCCCTTCGGCTCCTTTGCCCAAGTTTAAGCCCTTGCCCAAGTCCTCGGGGGAGCTCTGGATCACAAGGACGTAGTTGCCCAGGGCGTTAGCTGAGAGGAAGAGGAAGAGGGCCCCATGCAGCAGAGCAGGAGATAAAAGTGGGGTGGTGGAAGGGTCTCTGAACATGCTGGGGATGAAGAGAAAGATCTGGAGGACGAAGGTCACTAGAGAGATGCACAAGAAGTAGGCTGGAGCGACAACATTGAGCAACCTGAGAACTAGCATTGCGGATTACGTTCCTGCAGGGGAAAGCAAGGAGAGAAGGAACATCACCGCTCCGGCTGCACACTTCATCCTTCCATTTCCTGCC